TAAAAATAAAAAAATAAAAATAAAATAACAGTATAAAAAAGAATATTATATTTTATCTATACGTATTATTAATTTTCATCAGATAACAATATACAATATTTAATAAATATATAGATACCAAATATAGTTTTATTGTATAAATAATTTGATAAATGTAAAATAATGTTGATTGAAGTACATATTAAAAGAATTTCTAATATTCAAATGCACATAAAAATATACTGATCACCACACTACACAATTAATATCAACAACTCCCGGTAAAATATTACACAAGATAAATTTTAAAAAACAGATCTACGTAATAATTTAATATCAATCTCATTAGCTATACACAAAAAAATACAAACATTCTAACGTACCCAAATTACAGTATTGCACTTTATATACAACACGTTGCTCTTTATACAACAATACAGTGCACTTTATATCTCAACATGTTGCACTTTATAAACAACACGTTGCACGTACCAAAATAAACTAAATATGCTAATCAATCGAATAATATTACGCAAGACAAAATTTTAAAAAATAGATCTACATAATAATTTAATATAAATCTCATCAGATATACACAAAAAAACACAAACATGCTAACGTACAAAAAATTCAATATTGCACTTTATATACCGACACGTTGCACTTTATACAACAATTCGGTTCACTTTATATAACAGCATGTTGCACCTTATAAACAACACGTTGCACGTACCAAAATAGACTAAATCGGTTAATCAATCGAATAATATTAGTTGGTTAAATGTTGAATTTCTTTTTATTTTAATAGACAAAATAATATAACATGCCGAACTATATGAAGAGTATTACATATTTATTTTTTATATTAGTTTATGAAAACAATTACTATTTTTTTATATACAAAATTTTATATATTGCTGTTGCACATTAGGGTTATACAGACTGCACATAAATGCATGCCATATTGCACAAAATCGAACGAGAAACTGCAAACATAAATTTTAATAGTTTGGTCAGTCGATTCGACCAAATAGACCGGTGAACAATATTGTGAATTTCGTAGTGTGTTAACATTTTTGCATTATTTGTCTTTTTTAAAAAAAAAAAAAATTAATATGCACATACACACTCAATATTGTGAGCTCTTTTTATCATTATTCTGCATTTTAACATATTTATTATAAATTACACATTTGACCCGCGAACCAAATTACAATATACAAAACTTTTGAGAATTGCAACTAAGCCCATATGAGTTATCAAATTTTCAATTTGAAGACCCAAAAATTGAAATTGGATCTGCTGCAACACCACCCTCCTCCGCGAGCCACGCCGCCATTGTTCATCCCGCCGCCCGATTCTATGTCGCCGGAGAAGACCCTCGCCCGGGAAGAAGACGCCTGATGTCAAAATTCAAGTTGTACCTCCTCGAAATCGACTATGGCACCGAGGCCCGACAATCAAATTACAGAACGACGAGTCACACGAGAACCTGCCGGCGACGTTCGAAGACGACGTTAATAAAAGACGGCGGCATTCTCTGTCACGAAGGCGGCGGCGTGCGTCAGTCGGTCATTATTTACGGCGACATCCACGATGGCAGCTGGACCTCCTGCGCGGCCAAAGGGATGGTGGCGGACGTCGTAATATATGGAAGAGGGCGGCGGCGTCGATATCGGTGGTGGAACTGATGGCTGCCGGCGGCGGAATTAACGAGCTCACGGCGGAGCAGATCTACTGTGTGTGTTCTGTTCGTGTGCGTGTGTTATGTGAGAGAAAAAGTGTGTGTTTGTGTGTGAGAGAGGGTGATGGTGGGTGGGATGGGTGGGGTCCACGTGGGTGGATGAGGGGAGAGTTTAATGGTCCATTTTGTCCTTACATAATGGTTAATTGTATATATTTATCCCAACATGTTCATTTATTTACCGTATTGCCACCCTATGTTTGACTGCTATTATTATGTTTGACTTTATCATAACCATTGACTTGATGAATCCAATGGCCTACAATCATTCTCATTTCTCACATTAAGAGTCATTCTCATATAATCCATTCTCTCTCTCTCTATATATATATATATATATATTAACGTTGTATTTTTTTATTTTTATTTTATTTTTTTATTTATGATATATTAAAATAATCATATTTCAGCGATCTTCGATTTAACGTCCATATTGCATATATAAAATATAAATAATTTCATCTATCTTTATATAAAAAGATTAATTTTGTTATCAGATAAATTTATAAAATATCAAAATAAAAATATGCATGAGAACCAAAATATGCGTGAGAACATTACAAAGTATCACTACAAAATAAATTTAGAAATCAATTGCAAAAATCTTATGGACTTAACTACCAGAATAGTATAATAGAATTGATTTCTCAACATTAACGACAAATTCTTCCAATTTTCCATTCATTTGGTAATGAGCCATATACCAAAAATTATCCATTCAAGGAGTTCAACAATACCTTTGATTTTATCAATAACTGCACCTAACCAGTTTTTTAAAAATTCATATTGCGATTCACAATATCATAACAAATCTCATATAAATTAATAGATTATAAAGAAATTTAAAATATTTATAGTATACATTGTTATAAATTATAATAAAAAAATAAAATAATATTGACGTAATTTAAAATTAATAATTTTTTAACCCAAATAATATATATTACATCTTTTCCAATTAAGTGTTGGTTATAATATTTGCCACAACCTTTCAACTTTAGCATAACTTAACTAAAAATCGAAATAAATATGGTAATAATGTAGGAATAAAAGAAAGCGAAGAGAGAAATATTATTTGCGTATTATTTATTGATACTATTTGAATATGTTAAATTTTATGTATCTTTAATTATAAACAAGAACTCTAAAATGACAACTATTTTATAACGAGTGAAATAAACATATATCTCCTAAACATAAAATAAAAGAAAAAAATAACATCAATATTCAAATCTCTTTTATACTAATCTATATTACTTCATTGCTTTAATGCATGCAATTTATAATTATTGTCCCGTGCGAGTTACATACCAGTTATCGGAGATGATAATCAGTTAAAATCCCTTTTATATATAATTACCAAATACGCTGAGCCTAAGTGGCAATCTCGTGTGCTTCATAAGCTTATTTGTCAAAAATCTATGCTTCGTATTGACAAATGTACATGTTTTGTTTTGACTCTTAGGCTTGGAAATTACAATAAATTATTTTGGCTTTCCTTATTTTTTAAGTTACCGTATACCATTCTTACCTTTTCTTATTTAATTCATATATTAATTTTCATGAATTAGTATTCTTTTATATATATATATATATTTATTTTATTTTTATTTTATTTTTTATTTATGATATATTAAAATAATCATATTTTAGCGATCTTCGATTTAACATCCATATTGCATATATAAAATATAAATAATTTCATCTATCTTTATATAAAAAAAATTAATTTTGTCATCAGATAAATTTATAAAATATCAAAACAAAAATATAAATTATATTAGAAAAAATAAAATCTAATTCATCAATAAAACATAAAATAATTAATTTAATCTATTTTTTCCATATATTTTGGATGAAATATGGAAATTAAGTATTGAATATATTATAATAAATATTATAAAATATTGTTCTCAGTTCATATGTATTATATAAGGAGCTAAATGTTATTATGTTGCTTAAAATATAAAATATAAAGGAATATTATAATTAAATACAATAAAATATTTTTGCGTTTTATTAATTTATAAAACAATACATTTCTACGTAAATTAATATTTTAAATTATTATATTATATAAAATTAAAAAATCTAAAAAATTAATAAACGGGGATCACCGACTCTATAAATATAATATATAATTACAATACAATAAAAATTATTTTGTTTTAAAATTTTTTGAATTAGATATATGGAGTTTTTAATAATATCTGTTCTAGACATATATAATTAAAAAATATCAATTTTGATAAATTTAGTGAAAAAATGCGGATGCTATTGAATTATTTATTACTTTGTTATTGTTGTATATTCATTATACATAATTTCACAATAAAAATATAAGTGATTTTAATTTTTTATTGTACAAATATTACTATATTTAAGTACCCGTGAAGTTCACGGTATCGTACTTGTTACAAATTTATAAGTGAATGAACAGTGAACTAAAGTTGATTTGATGTATGATGATTGATTATTGTTATTTAATTATATTGATTATACTGAAAAGAGTTAGTTGATTTTTGAATGAAATAGGGTAAAAAATTTCCCACCATTCAAAACCGACTTTAATTTGTAGCCAGCTGCATCCCTTAAGTTTCAATTAACTAAGAGTGTGTTTGTAAAAGGATAAATTCAATCAAATTAACTCAAAGTGAGTTTTTTAGTTAACTATGGTTAATTTAAAAAAATTAGTATAGTTAGTTGTTTAGTGAGATTTTGAGAGTATATTAAAAATAATATTAAAAATAAAATAATTAAAGTCGATTTGATGTAAAAGTAGGAATATTGAAAATAAAATAATTAAAGTTGATTTGATGTAAAAGTAGGAAGTAAGAGAGAGATGATATGAAATGATGGTTAGGTAAAATTATGTGAGTTGATGTATAGTGAATTTAAATTGATATGATGTGTAAAAATGATTGGTTGTTATTATTTAATGATTTGTTGTTATATATATATATATATATATATAATTGCTGGCAAGTTTCAATAAATTTTATTCAGCCAGTAATTAATAAAAATAGGACTTCATTTAATAGTAATATTTATGACCAACATTCAAATGACAGTTACACAAGTAAAATCTTATTATTACTAATTATTTATTTCTAACATCTATACAAGATTTTAAATTTTCTAAATATACAATATTAATTTATCTTACAACTAATATTCTATAGTTATACAATAACAAAAAACACAAAACTGATATATATATGGAAGTTAAATAATTTATATTTATATTATACATATACATATAGTTTTTTTATTTTGCTTTGTGTATGTACACATGATCGAATATTAATTATTTAATTATATTGATAATATTGAGGATAGTGAGTTGAGTTATGAGTTAAATTTTTACTAAGAATTAATTTGGTTTTGAGCTAAACTTTGAGCGTCCATTTGATGTAGTATCATTAAATTGGGAATTTCCCATTATTTTCTTGACATTCATCTCCGGCTACTGATCATATGATTGTTGATACCGATAAGCAAGAGCCCAACTGGAAATTTCGACAACCATCTCTGGTTATTTTCGAAACTCGAAGTCTGCTGCTATCCTTGTCCTTCGTCCTGGTAAGGATGGTGCTTCGTCCTCTGCTTTCGTGCATAAATCCGTGCGAAGTTCGTATTATAATCGTTCAACTCTTGAGATCATGCTGCTACTTGATTCTTATGATGTACAATCGAAAAAATCACAAAAAAACAGAAGTCTTAACTTTATACTGTTTAGAACAGACATCATTCTTTTCGACCAGCAGATGCGCAACATTCAATTTAATCAAACGTGCTGGTTGTTGACATATTATCCTGGACTAGGAATCGAAATATTCTTAGGCGATGAAATGTGATCTCTTCTACTCATATTTTCCCCAGTCCCTGAATATGAAAATACTTTCTGGGCAGAGTAAATAAAAGGGCATGAGTATTTTCATGATGTATTTTGGGTTTGTGAGGACTTTATGTATGATTTAACTGCTATGTTCTGGTGCTTTTGCCCCATGTTATTGATTGATATGCTGGATAACAGAGATCCTTAAGACCCGTGTCTTGCATAGTGAAATTAAGTGGCATCGACTGACAAGGTAGTGGTTCTCTGCTGAAAGACATGCTTTCTGGAGTTGAAGCTGTGGCAACAAGAATGTTGCAAAGAATGCTTTCACCTTTAGTTTAGAATAATTGGCAGTTTAAGCTCCATTTTTTTTTTTCTATTTTAATTGTTGGGAGTGGAGTTGAGGGGACGAATCAAATAGACAATAACATGTAGGGTTTACTTTTAACCCTAATGGATTAGCTTTCAAAGTTCAATTTGATACCACTTGAGCTGCATGTTTGTGGTTTAATTTTTCTGCTTAGTGAATTTCAGCTTAGGAGTTAGGATTACATGCTATCAAAGTTGGGATTATGCCTTGTCTTGATTAGTCCTTCATTCCTATATTATTCTCCTCAGGGTTCATAGGTCACTTTGTAATCCCTCTGGTCTTCCCCACTTAAAACAAGTACAACAACAACAACATACCCAGTATATTCCCAACAGGTTGGGGTCTGGGGGGTCAGTTGTACGCAGACCTTACCCTTGTAATTATACAAGGAGGCTGTTTCCGTAGCGACCCAAGGTGCATTGTGCCGTTTGATATATATTTTTTTTTTAGAAACTTCAGTAATAGAAGAAGCACTAGAATTTAATTGAGCTATTTTGATCTAGTCCATTATTAGCACTATGCCAGGAGAATTGTCAACAATGACTTTTCCAGCTCCATTTGCAATGGACAATTTCCCCACTTAAAACAAGTAAATGCTTTTATAGATTGTCTACCGTCCTTTTTGTTGGGGAGGATTGGACACAAGTTCAAGCAAATAGGAAATGGATTTCCTCGACTTCAGATGTGTGTTACCATGTTTAGACATACTTATGGACATGCTTACCTCAGATAAAATATTCTACCAGTGTCATTACAAGCTTCTTTTGGCTTGTAATTTCTAATGTTCCTAGTTATTTAACACGTAATTCTGAACTAAAAATTGAATATGAAAGATATTGCTTATCAGTTATGCAAAGGACGTGAACAGCTTAACATGTTTCCTTAGAGGCATGCAGCTGTGTCGGCGTCAACACCTTTGCAACAACCTCGTGTTTGTTCTCTTTCAGTGCCCTCTGTAATTTGTTGTTTAGAAGGACTGAAGGAAGTCCAAACTTTATATTTTTCATTGGTCTTCAATCTGTCAACTGTGATTATAATCACATGCTTGTATACACATACATAAACATATATGTAAACTTTACTTGCTCGTGTCTGATGAAATTTCTCTCATTTTCAGTGATTTAACTAGAGACATTCGAAGTTACATATACTGTAGTTCTATAACTAAAGAATGAACTTTGGTTAAATATGCAGCAACCTTAAAGAACGATACCAGCTTCAGTAAGCTGTGCCTTTGATCTTTCCTTTCATCATCATAACTTAAATTTGAGGACGAAGTATGATTTTCTGTATTCTTCTTTCTACATGCAAGGCAGGATGGCAGACTTGCCTCGTTACATGAGATCTTGCTTGCAGTCTGGGAAGCTTGCCATGCTAGCAATTCTTGTCTCAGGGGGAATTGTTTTGCAAATACTGGTTCTTGCCATATTTTGCTTCCATTTACTTTATATCTCATTCGCTTGCGACTTTTGATTTTTATTGCTCTTTTTCTGACTATTCTCCTTATCTTTCAGGCATGCGCTCTATACAATAATTGGTGGCCAATGTTAACAGGTGTCCGGATGCAATTGTTATTTGCTTATAATTGATGCTATGCTTCAAATAACTCATCACTTTTTGGCCTTGTTGCTTATGGGTCATAGATTGCTGACAGACTTAGGGGATTCTAGAACATTAAAAACCAGTTTTTATATTCATCCCTTTTTCTTCTTCTTCTTCTTATTTTTGATTTGATAGGGTAATTTTTCTTGTTTCTTTTGCAGTGCTTATGTATGTCCTTCTACCAATGCCTTTAATCTTCTTTGCCGGGTCCGATGCTTCTTCTCTCTATTCCGAGTCAAGCAGTGGGTGAGATATTTTTTTTATTATTATTATTTTTTCAAGCTACTTGCCCAATTGCCCTAAATCCACCTACTATTTCATTGAATAGTTAGATATCTATCGAAATTATTTTATGTGGACATTTAAACCTGATATTGCAGATGGGTAGATGCAACTAAGTTCCTTACTGGTGCTTCAGCTGTTGGTAGCATAGCTATACCAGTTATCCTCAAACATGCAGGAATAATTGGTTGGGGAGCATTGTCTATGGAGCTTTCATCCTATTTCGTGTTCGTTGTGGCCATTTTATGTTTCATGGGGACGAATGATGATGATGGGTACAGTATGTTTTAAAACTAAAGAATTTCCAAAGCTTCCCTTTTTAATTTTTTGGTTTTTATTATCTCGTGTCAGTTGATGCCTATTTAGAAATGTCGATGTTGTTGTCATTATGTGCTT